CTTTCTCTCTCTCTCTCTCTCTCTCTCTCTCTCTCTCTCTCTCTCTCTCCCCCGTATCCCGTGGATTAGAGAAGTATTCAGCTCGTGGGAAGAAACGGTGAAAGTTCTTTTTTTCTACGCACGGTACCGTTAGAGGAGGAAGCCTGCGACCGGTGAGGAAGAATGCGGGAAAAGCCGATAACACGGCTGCTTATTCGCGGTTTATCTCCCGGAACGTGGAATGTCATCTCCATTGTGTCCCACGTCATGCGGGGTGCAGAGAGGTCGCGGAAACGCGACGCTGCCGGCGCGCGGTTCCTTCGGCACGATTTCCTGGCTCGTGAAAATGAGGAAGAGAAAAGCAGCGAGAAGAAGGAAACAAGCGTCTCGGGGAACACTTGCCGTTGCGCGAACGCGCCGGAAAGTCGCGCGGCTCTTTACGAGCGATCTCGTTGCTCAGCTATGCTTGAAACGGCGAGCCGCGAGCGCGCGCCGCTCGGAGAAGTAGAACCGGCGCAAAAAGTGGCTCACTTTCGTTGCCGAAGTCGGCGACGTGTTGCCACCAGCGGCTTTCGCATTTCGGAAAGACCGGCGAGACTGCGTCGCCGACTTTTCTGGGACTGCCCGGCGCGATTGTGCCCTTGAGATTCCTCGCGTTTCCGCCTCGAATCCGCCGGCGTGTCGCGAGTTTAAGAAAGCCACGCTCACAGTGCTTCGCGTGAACGCCGAATGACGAATAACGAAGTCACTCTATTCTCGGCCAGAGAGACGCCAGGTGTGAAAAATTCCCCGGCCCGGAATAACGATGAACGACCACCAGGATGAATGGACGGCTCTGTGTGCGAGGATCAACGTGCAAAATGTCGCGAAAGGACGAGCGAGAGCGGGTCGTCGGAAACGGAACAGCGGTGTGAGTCAGCGGGAAGGAAATTTAGAACTCTACGAATCGCCCGTCGCTTTTCGACAAACGGCCGGAGAAAACGACTAGCGTTTCTAGCGAAGCTGATTAGATAAGCCGACCTGGAACGTTCCTTTGGGTCTGATTGGAATTTATTTCCGATTTCCCTAAAGCTGATTAAAATCGCCGCGTAGAAAATTTCCTGGAATAATCTCTAAAGTCGAGATCCGTTCTGATTTTTCAGAAGAACAGTGGGTTCCGATTGGGAAATTTACAAAGATTTGAATTGGAAATAAAAACGTTTCAACGATGCAATTTCAAATTGAAAGTTTAATTTTCTCTGCCAAGCGCTCTTTCGTACACGGATATTCTCCTTCTTCGATTTTGACTTTATATTCAAGCTGAACAAACGAATCTGAGAAACGCTTGGAATATTCGTTTACACTATACAAGTGTAAATCCTCAAAAAGTGTGGATACTGAAGAACCGTTTCAAGGATTTCGAAACTAACTTTTTTGAAGTAAACAATAATAGATATCTCGAGTCCCGAGTCGAAATTTCAGTTCTACTTTGAGCCTGCAAATTCCGTAGGACTTAAAGGACTACTGAAGGATCTCCATATCTGGAGTCATATAGGATGTAGTGCTCTTTTAATGCTACAAATTAAAACTTTGTGTTCCCTTAATACTATAAATCAGTACTATTGGCGTTTTTACCAACTTGAGGTTTAAGGGAGAACATACTGAAAGCCTTTGAATCTGACTTCAGATCTTATGCCGCGTCTCCAGAACGGTTGCATAAACTACGCTACAAGCATTTTCAGGAGATATAAAAAATTATTTAATATTCAATTACCTCTTATATATTCTACTTACAATTTTAAATACAACATATTAAATATTAGGAAGAATGTCAGAAACTTGAATTATCAATAAATATCTCTATTTTTCTTAAAGAGATTTTTCTTCCGATAAACAGTTAGCGAGATAGTGTGTGTGAGGTTGGCGGAAAATCATTTTGCGGAAAATCACAAATTATTGACAGTACTGTATTTCTTTTTAATAATTCTAGAATTCTGGATAAGTTAAACAAATAGTTCCGCTCATTAACGCAAAGAAATGGCTCCTCCGGACAAACTGATTTGCCAAGTTCACGCTGTGTATCACTTTGTCCTACATGATTTTCGTGCACATACATTGTCAGATTTCGCCAAATATATAGTTCTACAATAGTTCCGTAAAGAGTTCTGCTCCATAAAAGCAAAAAAGAATGATAATAATTAAGTAAAGATTAGCAATAATACGGTAATAAACTTACCGACTTGAGACGCTGTCAAAATCTCAAAGTTTTGATCTTTCCAAAAGAGTTCTCAAAGTCATGAGCATAAAAAAATATTTTCTAAAGAATTCTGTGCGCTAACAACATTGTACGATTTTTAAATAAATTAATATTGCCCGAGCGCTAGTCGTATTTTGAGAGAATAGGATGATTAGCCGAAATCTTGTAGTTCTTTTTCATCTAAAATACTTTTTGTATATTTCTCAACATATTACAGCATTTGTTAAAGAATTCTGGGCATTCGTAACGTTGTATAATTTTTAAATAAATTATTACTACTTGAGCGCGTTGTACTTTGAGAGAATAGGATGAGATGCTAACTAAAATCTCATAACATCTCGTTCATCTAAAATATATCTCTCATTTCATCTAAAATATAGTTCTCAGTTCATCTAAAATACAGTTCTCAACATACTAAAGCATTCTCTAAAGAATTCTGGACACTCACAACGTTGTACGATTCTTAAATAAATAAATTAGAGCTTGAAAACTATATATATATATATATATATATATATATATATATAACTGTTCAGTTCACTCAACTTTATTCTTTTTGTCCCTATAAAATGAACATCTCTTGTAGAGATTTCTATAAAATATGTTCATTTTATTGGAATGAGAAGAATAAAATTGAATAAACAGAGTAGTTACGAGCAGTTATAGAGCAGTATAAAGAAATATCTTTTGAAGCTTAACATCGATTCCGATAGAATTATAAGGCTAAACAGAACTCAAGCATCAGTTTCGATAGAATTATAAGGCTAACAGAACCTAAAAGACGTTCCTAGTGCTACGGTAGAATTTGTAGCACAAGGAGTATTATGTTAAAGCGTACAACTTAATACTTGATAGGTTTATAGCAGACTCTAAATTTCGACTCGGGGTAAAAGCGCGAGTTCCCATATCATTTTCTCTTCTTTCGATTCGATGAGGAGACGTTTGAGATGAGAATGGGACTCTCAATTATCAAAATCGTAATTTTCACTCGGCCTTAGTCATGGTCGGACAGGTAGGCTGGGGGCAAATTTAGGAATTCCAATCCCGGGATTGTATACCCGGGAAAGTTCTGAGAAATTTCAACGGGCGGGAGTTCGCGAGGAATGTTCAGAGAGATTAATTGTCGAAACGCGACCGACCGAGGACGACCAAGGAGGAGTCCGCTCGTTGGAAGTTCCCGACTGTTTTCTTTCTCTGAACAGACGATTCCGCCGTTGCGAGTGGATATATTTAGAGGATTGTCATCAATCGATCGGACCGTGCCGGCCGGGCCTGGCATTCCCGGCAACGATTAACAACGCGAGGCTCTCTTGCATTCCTGAAGTGAAAATGGAGAAGACCGGCTCGCCGCGACCCGAAACTCGACTCCTATCCGGCGTCCATCTTTACTACACTTGTCCCTGTTAATTGTCAATTATCCTTTTATTGGCGCATGCGCATCCTGACGTCCGCGCCAGCGCGGACTTTCGCCGCTAACGATACGATTAACATAAAATGATAATCCATAATTTATTTCGCATTGACGTTTTTAGCGCTGCGATCAATATCGCGCGTCAACCACAAAGTAGCACGTAGTGTGTCGTTAAATGAGTACGGTTAAATGACACATTTCCAACGGCGCACGAACAATCGGCACGGTGAACGATGATTATGCACATGCGAGCGTTGTCGCTCGATATAACCATCATGGAGACGACGGCGACGGCGACGGCGGCGGCGGCGTTCCATTTTTACCGTGTGCAAAATTTCAATAATACCAGATTCTCTTTGCTTACATTTTTCTCTCCCTTTAAGCGAGAATGCCGGGGAAGATCATTGTTTATTGCGACTTTCTAATCTACGGGTTAATCGGCATTACGTATCCTCACGGCGTGAGAACTTCACTCATAAAAATTCCATTGAATCGCCGCTCGCTGAAATTTTGCCAACAAATAAAAGAGCGAAATCTCCGATCGTCGATTTTCATCGATTTTCGATGCTCGATTAATCCGCACGAACAAAAATAGAAAGATCAGTCGCTAATGAGAGAGCGAGGAAAAGAGAAAGAGAGAAAGGGGAAGGGAGAAAAAGAAAGAGAGAGAGAGAGAGAGAGACAGAGGCGCACGTTATTGCATTTAGCGATCGAATTATCCGTCTTAACTCCGCCGGCAACTTGTTAATTAAAACTTGCGGTGCGCCTTATTGCGGTTCGGCCGCTTGTAATTATTGTCAATGGTGGCGTACGCGGCGCGTGTGATAATTGGTCGGCCGCTATCCGAAAGCCTGCGTGCATCCATAAATTCTCGGGGCCGCTACGCCGCCATAGAATAAGCGCCGACCTACTTGTACCTCCGCGACTACTTTCACTTGCGACGGGGACGAGGTTGGCACGGATGCACGGACGAGACGAATTTCCGAATAACGTACCTGCCGCGCGACGACAACGACGACGACGACGACGACGACGACGACGACGACGACGACGATGACGATGACGACGACTTCGTGGCGGGTTTCATTCTTAAAATCCAGTTTCGCGTGCCGGCGCGCGTTATTTCTTTCTTTTTTTCCTTTCTTCTCTTTTTGCGGGGACTTTCGCGGCTCGGCACACACCGCGAGCGCCGTCTGAGCGTTTGTGTGAGGATTGAAACGAGGTGGATTGTCAGCGCACGTGAATGCGACCCGCACACTGTCTTCGACGTCTCGACAATAAAATAAAACAAGAGAGAAATGAGAGAAGAAGGTCGATTTCTTCGATCCGAAGACGTCGACCTGCGTGATGCTTTTATTGATAAATATCGTTGGATTACATAATATACTTTATGTGTAACATTAAAGCTAGACGTTTCCTCTCCCCCTCTGGGATAAGAAGACGCGTCTCTTATCTTTACGTATGGACATGCTTTCTAGAGACAAGACGCCATGATACGCCAATCGAAGCGAAGAAGGTCGCGTGTGACGAGCTGATTCCTCCGGGCATCCTAGGCGACCGTTAACAGGTGAACGTCGTGCAGTCTTTCTTCTTCACAGCGTCCAACACTTGGCGAAGACCATTCCTCGTCGCAACGTCGTCCGAGATTCTGCTGAGGCGCGAATGGTGTGAATTTCATTATATAAGACTGATAAAAACCCGGCGATAAGAAGAAGCAAGCTCAGCTTCACGCACGTCACTGTCGCAAGGGACAACAGTAAATCCAATACTTCGCGTTCTAAAATCGCACGGGAAAATATTAGAGAGACACTTGACCAGAAGTGTCAATTTGATATGATAAGACGTTCCCATAAAACGAACGTCAAGCGGTGAAGAATGAGCGAAGATCCGAAGGAGCAAATCACCTAGTAGCCAAGTTCCACAGGATGTTCTGCAGGATATTGGATTCCGGCTCGTTGCCGGCCAAGATCATTTCGCAGATCGATCGATCCTCGCAAGTGGCCGATTGGTCTTCAAGCAGGCGGGTTGCTCGTTTATGCTCGACCGGCAGGTCGGCGACCCGTAGTTTTGAAAGGACAATGCTCGGCTGCCTGGTGGAGTTGATCCTCGATGAAAAAATACCGCTGGGCGAGCGTGTCTCTTAATTACATATGAAAGATGAGATGATAGCACTCACGTTGTCGTGTTGTTGATTCGCACGACGTTGGGTGTCAACGTCGCCAACAGCAGACCCAACGGCAGAAAAGTGCCGATCAGGCGAACGATTTTCTTCCACGGCGATAGTCTGCAAATAAAGCATTTTTGTTTTGTACTCGAAGAAAAAATAGAGAAGCAGATCATCTCGTAAATAACAACAGCGATATTTACTTGGAAATTTCTCCAGAATTTCGTGAAAATGTAAATAGAAAGGACAGAGAATTATTGTGTATTTATTGTATTATTATTATTTGGGTCTGCACAAATTGCAAAGGAATTGATTATATGATGACAAATGGTTGTAAATTAAGATGCAAGCAGCCTAAAAAATTATTAGCTAATTCAAAATAATATCTAAATTAAGTTTAATATGAAATATACATTTAAAAATTGTAAATGTATATTAAAATATACATTTTAAAATCGGAAACATGTATTAAGATCTAAAACGTATATTTTAAAATCTGAGATATACATTTCAAATACACGTTTTCAGATTTTGAACTCGAATATTTTCCTGTTTACATTTGGATATGTAATTGTGCTAAAAATATCCAGTGGGATAATTGATATAAAGATGAAAGCACAAGAAGAGTATTTAAAATAAATTTCTTCATTAAATAACTAAATAAATAAATAAAGTAATAAATAAAATAAAAGATGCAGTGCAATTGACGAATGAAGCCGGTAAGTGCATCTTACCGCATTAGAGACCCACTTTTTCATTGGCGGATAAGCCACCGTCGAATGCTGCGGCACCTCCGCATATTTCACCTCGTGGTACTCGCTGCTCGGTTGATAAAACTGGTAAGGGAACTTGCGCTTCCTCGTGTAAGTGGACTCCTCTTGCTGAAGAACCAACACGCCGCTCTCCGGCTGTTTCACTATCTCGTACGCGGTCTCGTGCGACATTGGCTGATGAGCGTTCTGATCGCCATCGCTGTAGTAACCGATGACGTATGGGGACCGCAAAGTATCCAGGTAAGTACCGCTCATCAGCTGTTGATCGGCCATTGTTTTGCCAAAAATTGAAGACGCGTCTTGCTCCACCACCGGCTTCTCGACGTTTCGGAAGAAGCTCTGGTCGACGAACACGTGCTTGACGTTACCATCGTCTACAAACGACGACCCGGCATACTCCGTCACAACTTTCTGACCCACTAAGGAATGATGAATGCTCGAAATTAACACCTTGAAATTCAAAGAGCTGGACAATCTGCCGAGACAAAATTTTCTCGAAATATCGAAAGCACTTAATTGTCCGAAAAAATGAAAACCGAGTACCAGGACAATTTCATTATCATCATCATAAATTTCTTGGAACAATCTTCCGATATTTCTTGAAAGTTGCCTTTCAGAGGATCGTCTCGGTATTTAGATTTCGGGATTATTCACAGAATTGCCTCAACACTTTTCCAACTCTCTAACACGTTCTTCCTTCGCAACAATGCACGTTCACTTACCGTCGTCCTGGAACTTGATTCTACTCGGTCGCGTCGCCTCGTCCAGGATACTGGATATGCCTTGGTACCCGTCCTGAAGAGCATCCTGAAAGAGTTCGCGCCGCGGGTCCAGCTGGACCTTGTTCTCGAACTTCACGTGCTGCACACTGTTGAAGGGATTCATTCGGATAACCGTGGACGGTTGCTCGATTTCGCCCAAGTGCGGGCTCGGACGGAAGTCTTGGGACGAATTCCGCTGGGGATCCTTCACGACGATCGGCGACATTGACTTCCGACCGCTGTTGGTAGCCGCCTCCGACGGCGTCGCGGTCGTTGTCGCCTCGCGAACGGCGTATTGGCTTCTCGACGAGGTCTCGCGTTGGGTCTCGTCGTCCGTCGCGTCGTCGGCCACTTTGATGCAGCTCGCGCGTGTCATAGCGATAATTAAGAGATGCAGGAGGAGGAAGCGACGCCCGACGAGTTTGCGCGATAAAAGCATATTTCGCGCTTAGTTGGACAGGCAATCGGTGCGAATCGCGTAATATCTGTGATTGGCGAAGTATACGACGACGACGAGCAGTTGCTGAAGACAGCTGTTACCGTCTGAAGCTGAGCCCGCGACTGAAACGCTTGCCGCGGACGCGCCGCGACTTGAACTCGCGGAGGAGACAAGTGACGCGGGCGCTTTTTTAAAAAGCGTGAACAAGGGAGCAATTTTCGTGTCTTAATCACCGTCCTCACTCCAATTGTTGTCGACGAGCCGCGCGCGCGCGCGCGGCCGTTTAGTTCGAGCAGCCTCGCCGTTGCGTGCTGCAGCCGCGGCGCAAAGTGCTGCATGCTGAAGTGCTGGAAAGATGAGCGAGAGAGGACAGCTTCGCGCGAAATCGATCGCCGGTACAGAGCCGTTCATCAATCGAAAAGCAATAAACAGCGACGAGTGAAGCGAGAACTAAAATGGCCAGGACGATTCGCTTCTTCCTTATTGCTCCGAATTGCCGCTGGAGAAAATGGCGCTTGGTCGAGACGTCTTCTTTGTTCTTCGTCAGACAATCGTCGACTTTCCGGAAGGAAAATGACGGGGATTCGGGCCTGTGTGAGTCTCCGAGGTATCAGACGATAGCAAAATATTAGTCCACGGGCTGCCATCTACTAACTAGAACGTCGATTGTCCACGCAAAGTGTCCCAAGATTGCGCGACTTTATTTGCAAATCTTCTTTAAGTTCTTAATTGATAACTCGGAATTTCACGTGGTTGTTCTCAAAATGGCAGAGGAGTTTGTTCATTCTTCTCCGCGTCTGTTATTATCAGACAACCTATATATCTAACTGACTTCAAAAATTGAGGATATTTATGTAAGTTAAAAGTGTACTGTTTGGGATATTTGGAGAATGGATATTACTTGAAGAACATGTCTCACAGGAGATGCTCGCCTTGACGGACATATCGATGACGTCAGAAACGTCGTTAATTTTTACGCTGCTAATCAATAAACATCGCTAATTTTCAGGATGTTACTCGATGCAGTTGATACGATTCATCTGGTGTGCGCGCTAAGCAGACATGAATTTAGAGCGAGACCTAAATCAGTTGCAGCTGAATCACACGACACGCGCCAAATTATATTTGTAATTGCGACTCGAGCGAAAAAATGGCGTCTCACTCGAGGTATCTCAAGTGTGTGACGACTTTATTAACACTCGTACCGCTGTCCTCAGCTGAGCCACGGCTGTTGAAGCGCCGGCGACGACGAGAATGAAAAACAGAACACGGCGAGCTGCTAAATTGCATAAGTGAGACAGGAGACGTTCCTCGCTCCGGCCGGCGCGCGCTGCCGTTCGCGGAATACGAGTAATGAGCGGAAGGGGTGAAAAGACTTTCTAAGTCAAGTTTTATCGCCGAGCGGTGAGAGTCTGACCCTGTTTCGCGGCGAGGTCATTTCGATATGTTCTATATGCTCCGCGATGTTGTTTCGGAATTCATAAATTTCACGGGAGGAGAAACATTCTCTCTATATGCTTTTCACGCCGCGCTCGCGTTTCACGTTCTTTTCGAGCGCCCACCTGTGGCCTGACGGCCGATCAATCGTCTTCGCGGAATTATGCATTAATGATCGCGAAACTACTCGGAAAGATGTGACTATAAATACCGCTCTATATCCCGTCAATGTGTATTTCTTTGTATTTCTCGCCCGCCGCAATTGAGCATAATATCGATTTTTCATCGTGGCGCGTTGTTGCCATTAAAATCTACTCCTCATGCGCGAGTTAAACCTCGACCTCTTATTTACCCAATTCGCTCACTGAGATTTCCATTCAGGGCACACTCAAAAAAATATTTCGCTGCTCCAGCTAGAATTCTAAACGTAACGACTAAAAATTTTCGCTGATTTTTGTATCTCCTAAAAAATTGTCTGTGATACACAGAATTTACAATAACAACAGCCTAGCTATAGCATCTGCAGCAAAATTTAGGTCCCGTAGCTAAATATGAATCACTACGTTAAATGAGAAAAATAATAATAATAATAATAACGATTTGACTGGGTGCCATAAAGAGATTTTCTTGCTAAATTTGACAAACGGTCAGTTATCAATTCCGTCTCTGTCATTTATATTGGTTAGATTCAAAACATATGCAATAGTATTTACCAGTCTTTTAACCATTTCGACTAATTTCTCGTACCTAAATAATTTTCGCTATGACTAGAAGATTATTTTTCTCATTGGAATATCATCGCTTACAAACATTGTCTAAATTCGCTGTATACTATCCGTCGTCTTCACTGCTTTATTTCTTGTAATATATTTTTGATGCACTCTTTAATATATTTAGACGTATCGTTCATATCTTTCTTTGTATCCTTTGATACAATTCTTCCCAATTAAATTGTATATAAATAAATAAAATGTATATAAGTAATAAAATTAAATCACAATGTCATGCCCCGAGCTAGCACGTCGTGCCGGGAGACGTTTCTCCCGGAGATGCGTCCCGTTTTTCCTCTTGTTGCCTTCTTGCGAGACAAATTTTCCGCTCGCGCGTTTTGCATGTCAACGCGTTATCCGATATGGCGATCTCCTCTGCGAATACTTTCCTCAAAACTTTCTGCCGATACGTGGATCCTCAACATCTAGGCTAGACCGCGATACCCTTTTCACCCCTTCCACTTCCTTTCATATCGCGAGCCATCTCGTATGCGCGACTCTCCCTCTGGTATGACCGACAATGAAAGTAGACGCTTGCTCGCTGCACTCGCGGACCATTCTTCCTGTTTTCAGCACCGTCATAGTCGTTTTCGCGGTTAGCTACGCCTAGCCTGACCCAATTCCGGTTTCGAGTAGACCGGCCGGCCGCGCCGCAACCGGAATCGGAAGTGAAAAATCCAACGCTGCCCCGCGCGACCACTTTGCCTTGACGATTGTCCACGTTTCGGAACCTAATTGGGCTTTTCTTTATTTTTTTTTCTCTACTTATACTCGGATTGCTATTCTTTCTGTTCAATCAGTCTTGGTCTTCAAGCACACGTATTTAAATTTTTAGCATAGAATATATGTACATGTATATTCCACGTTAAGTTTAATTTCTTCTATTTAATTTCTTCTATTTAAAAAGCGAAATCGTTAAGAAATTAAACAAAGAAAGAAATGAAAAGTGCCAAATCGGTACTCTTAGCCCACGCTCGATTGTTCACGAGGTTGTTCCACCGGCGATTAACACTGGGCAGCCCAAAATATTCTGCGATCGTTGAGCTCCGCGGTGCTTCTTCACACTCGGAAGATTAATTTCGTCTCGGAGAATGACGTCGTCGTACGACGCGCGAGAGACGCTCAGCATCCGCAGTGCGCGCGCCGCGGCGAATGTGGAAATCGGCGGTAGCGCATTTCTGCCGAGATCGGCGAGAAAAGAAATCGCGTCCGTTTCTGGGTCGGCGCCGCGCAAAAAATCCTACATCGGTGAAAATCTGGCAGAAGAATCGGAAGCTGCTCGTAAAACGGAAACTGTTAAGACTCGCCGCGCGCGTTTCACTCGGCGTGCGAGCGCAAAAATCATCGCGGAGATCGACGCGGGGCGGCGGGGTTAGCGAGCGGGGGAGAGAGGGGGAGGCAGGCACAAGACGAAAGAAAGAAAAAGGTGAGAGAACGAGACCCGAGGTTTCTGGGCCGCGAAAGCGCAAAAATCGCTAAACGACCGATTCTGCATTTGTTGCCGCCGATCCCGCGATCACCTATGTCGAAGAAGGCCAAATCGGCGATTTGCCGAGCATGAAAATGCGGCAACGACGGCCTCCCTCGTCCTTCGCGCGCGTCCCGCCGCAAAGCGTGTCCTTAATTGTACAACCATTCAGCCAGAAACTCCGCTTCCTGTGTACTCGCTGTGCGCTTTTAATTCGCCGATACATATACGTGAAATAATTAAATAGCTCGTAAATATAGTAAATATAGTAAAACACACACACACACACACACACACACACACATATGTACAAGGTTCTGATTAAAATTCCGCTTGGCCGATTACGACGATACGCCGACGATTGCTCGTGTAACATCCGCTGCGCCAGATTAGATTGCGCTGGAATTATTTAAATTATTTACTCCGCATAAAGCTGTGCGCAAAACTCTCTTCCCATTCGGATCTAAAAGAGAATGGCGAGGCAATAATCACAGACTTGATACCGTTGTCTCGCCTTTCATCGTTTTCAGTTATCATGTTGTTCGCATTGCGTACATCCACCCAATAAAAATGTTCTTAATGTTATTATCTTTTTTTCTACAATCTCCCAAACCAAACCTTTCTCAACTGCCAACTGTAACGCAGTGATCTCCGGGTGAAGTCACCGCAGCGACGTGCACAATTTGGTAGACAAATATCCTTATTTAATGCGTCGCTACGTCGAAATATATAACAAATTATATAATATATTTATTTGCCGAATCGACCGAAAAACAAGAAAGTCGCCTCGTGCAAAAGAAGGGCCAAAATATTCACGTACTCGATTTTCCCCCCGCTCTCTCTCTCTCTCTCTCTCTCTCTCTCTCTCTCTCTCTCTCTCTCTCCCTCTCTCTTTCTCTCTCTTTTTCTCTCTCTCTCTCTCTCTCTCTCTCTCAACCGAAACATCTCCACGACCGCGCCTAGCCCAGAAAAGAGAGAGCACACGCTCTCGTCGCCGCGGCCGCGCCGTGCGGTTCAGTTCCGCCGCGTTTTAAACGGTGAAAGTAGCATTTTGACAAAAGGTAAAATCCGCTCGGGAACGACACACACCGTCAGCCGCCGCGCCGCGCCGCGAGGACGCGCGACGTCTTGTCGTCACCCGGGCTGATTGTCACGAGCGTGCGCCGAGTGCAATTAGCGCGTGACGAGCGGTCTGGGTCTGTTTCTCATTCCTCGTTGTCGCCCGCCGTCGTCGTCGTCGTCGTCGTGTCGCGTCGGTCCGAATCGATCGATCGAGACCGGACGATTTTAACGGCGACGAGGAGCGACGATCGATCGATGACTGATCGGCGATCAAATCCGCGCCCGCCCCGCCGTCTCCGAAGACTCCTGCGTTTCCAGAACCTCCAGAAGGAGGCGGAATTCAATCAAATCGCAATCAAAACGCCGAGATATCGAGAAAAGCTCGGCCGTTGGAGACGATTTCGTTACGTTAACTCTCCGCATTATGAATGGCAGTCTCGAGTTGCCGGCTGGATCTTTGCCGGCCGTAAGTGTGTCTGATTAGAGACGCTGATAAGTGAGAAAGCGCATTGTCAATAACCCGTCGAGCCGATTGTCTAAATACTGATAAGACGCTCACGTCGATTGTCCCGATAGGAGAACATGGCGGCTACGCAGCGGGACTTCATTCGATCGACGAAGAAATCGTTAATGTCAATTTCCGAACTCGCGATCTTGACGCTGTCGTCCAATGCGGGAACTCGACTCGAGAGCTCTCGCGTCGGCCTTCTGGAATTCTGGAAAACGCGGGAGAAGCTCCGTCTCGCCTTCGTCTCCGCGATTTTTCGCGGCGCGCCGTTCGAAACTCGCCCGAAACTGGAGAAACGACGCGTGAGGCGACGCGTGAAGAATAGCGCTAAAGAGCATCCGCGAGATCGAAGATCGAAGAGAACACGAACACCCGGAGGAACCGCTATCCTCAGTAGTCCCGTATGACGTCCGACCGCGCGCGCACGCGCGGAGATATAGACGTCACTCAGCCGTCGGAACCGGCGACGCCGCGGCGTCGTCGCGATCCCATCGATCATCGATCGCGGCACCGGCGACTGACCTCGCCTCCCATTGTGTCCATTGTGTTCCAAGAACGATCGTTATCCAGGAGGAAAGAGAAAGACCCCTGCGGAGCCTTGTTCTAGGATACACCATGCTGCCGGTGCGCGGGAAAGAGAAAGAGTGATAGAGAGGGAGAGAGAGAACGAGTACGCCAGCGCGACGGAGAGAGAGAGAGAGAGAGAGAGAGAGAGAGACGCGCTTACTCGCGAGCGAACGGGACGGCTGCGCGGGGAGAGTAGGAGAAGAGACAATGTGGCGCCCGTTCTCCAGGTGACCAAGAAGAACGGCGGGAAGAACGGACTAGCGCGGGCAAGGATCGGAGGAAGATGCAAAATGGACCAAGCACCGACGAAGTGGGGATCTGGATTAAAAGCAAACGAGGGCAACGTCTCGGCAACAGAGCCATCTCGGACCTTGAAGAGTCGAGGCCGGCCGAGGCCACTTCCGTTTCCCATCCGCATTTCGTACGCAGCACGTTGGCTCTGTATTGCTGTTGTTGTTGTTGTTGTTGTTGTTATTGTTGTTCCTGTCGCTGTTACCGTTGTCATCATCGCTGTAGTCGTCGTCGTCGTCGTCGTCGTCGTTGTCGTCGTCGGCGACGCGAGCACGTCGCGAGCAGTTCCTGTAACGGATCGCACGTCCTTCTCTCTCTCTCTCTCCTGGAGGCGACAAGCCGCGCAAGCCGGGCCTCGTTGTTCATGTAATTGAAGGCGCCACGACTCGGACGATTGACACCGACACGGTCAGTGCGACAGGCGAGCGTTGTGTGGATTATTATCGTACCGTCCTCCTTCGCCGCTTATCGCGCGACGTTTCCCTCGTCACGAGAGTAGGACAACTCGCGGAGTAAGTCGATGCAAGACGATTGTGCGTAATTGCGGAGTGGGACAGCTCGGCTAAGCGGACGACAGTAGTCTCGGCGAAATTGCGACTCCGAGGCCGCTGGCGCCTTTGCCAGTCGGATTCTAGCTTTCCGTTCGTCTCTCGCGACTTCATCATCTCCCGATGCTGCGTGGCCGATGAGACTGGCCGCACAGTGTCGAGAGATCAGTTTCAGATGTTAAGAATTGACTTTCAATATCGCCGAGGAGCTTGTCCTTCCCAGCTCGGCGAAATCACGCTCGTGATTCCTGCTCGTTGCGAGTCTTCAGCAAGATCTTCCGCGCGAATACTCGCGATATCCTTTGCGGGGGGGGGCGAGCAATTGCGAGGTCTACCGGCGACGAGGGTCCGCGCCAACGAGAAGATCGCGTGGGCACAATTCGAAATCTACGTACGAAATGAAGCTCTTCGTGTTTCAGATGACGTCGAAGGGAGCGGTGTGCCTGCTCCTCATGGTCTTGATGTTCGGAGGAGCGCAGTGCAGCACCAGGTACTTCGTACAAGTGCGCACCAACGCGTCCGAGATGTTCAAGACGAAGGCCGACAACCTGAGGATCCTTCAGGACCCGATCGCGATGACGCCGAATCCGTTGTACGACAACACGCGTGACCAGCGTCAGGACGAGGACGAGAGGATGATCAAGGAGCTCTCGAGCGACCAGTACCATCGGAGGAATTCCTTCGTCGAGACCTCAACCTTCAATCCGGACGTGCTCAACAAGTTCCTCGAGGAGTACGCGAACAAGATCAAGAGCACTACCGAGAAAGACTTCAAGTTCCCTTACAGAATCCCGCAGCCAACCGCGGAGTCGCTCGTCCTCGAGGTCGACGACGAGGCCACTGAGGCTACCACCAGCCATGAGCAAGACGAGAAACCCGATGAAAATGCGAACGCTACTTCGATCGCAGAGGACGCGGTAAGGAATATATTTTCTGGCTACAAAGTAATAATGACTATTCGCAAGTGTCGTTGAATAATTATAAATAATAATTGAGTAATCTGTACACACTGTGATGCGCATAAAATACGTTTGAATTGTAAAGGAGGAGACGCGAGAAAAAATGTAAGACTGGCCGGCGATTGATTGAAACGCAGAGATTTTTAGTGCGTTCCAAAGCATCAATCGTATAACTTATCGTTACGTAAAAGAGAGAGAGAGAGAGAGAGGGAGGATGTGGTCGATGAACTCTCGTCGTCTTTCATTGCCGCTGATCCAGCTGACCGAGGCATTGAACGACACGTTGAAGAGAAACAAGTACTACGGTACAAACACTTACGAGGACAGGAACGGCTGGGTGACGCTGGAGGCAATCCCATGGTCGAAGAGCAAAATCTCCAAGTGGCAGGCCAACCCCAGCACGCAGCGACCTTGGCCGGAGATAAAGCCAGCGTGGGATAAGCCGAGCATGAAACCATGGGCCAGCGACTATTCCATCAGACCTACTTATGAAAACAACAAACCGTGGTGAGTGAACCGGCAACCGCCAATTTTCCTTTCACTGTGCGAGGCTGTGGACAATTCCGAAACGGGCTCATTACGGAGGGGGAGGCGCCTGCTACTTCGCATCCAATTGAAACTTTCTTTCTCGTGGCGTTTTAAGTTGGCGGTGCGGCTAATGGGGTATTGTATCCATTATGGTACGGGAGATGCTTTTTTCTAGCAGGAAGAGAAGAGAATATTGTTCAGTTGCTTTTTATCTCCTCTCACTTCGATCCTCCGGCCAAGTAAAAGAACCGAGGCAACGGATAAAAATGAAGCGGGATACGAGTCAATCATCATGTTTGAATTATTTATCGAGATTAGATCAGATTATTTGCTGACAATCTTTTCGAAGAGCGATACGTTTGTGGGAGTCTTAACATCTTATATTTTTTTCATGAGCTTTATGCCTTATGAAATGAAGTAAGACATAAAGTAACGTAATAAAATCAGGTGATAAATAAAAGGCAATAAATTACAAAAATATAACACGTTGTACATAGCTGTAGGACATTAATACTTAACTTTTGCGAGGATCTTACTTTGATTAGAAGTTAATCACTCGAGGTATAAGGGACTGAACTGAAACACTCCTCGGCGCGAAAATTCGGAAAGTGCAAGAGCGCTTTGTCGAATCCCAGGTATGACAAGCCGAAACCCAACTGGTCCGACAACAATGACAAGCCGTGGCAAAAGCCGGTCTCCCGTCCTCCTTACCACTCGGATGACGCGTCATCGTCCACCCAAGCGCAGAAGTGGCCGCCAGAGAGGCCGTGGAACAAGTACGATCCTCATCGTCCCAACACCGACATCATCACCGACGACAGGCCGGCGAATTTCCCCAGCACCTGGTCGCGGCCGCAGACCTCCAAACCGTCGTACCAATTTGTCGATAGGTACCCGGAGAAGATTCAGTCGGAGAACGGCAACGACTGGCACGAGTATCCATCCAGGTTTGACCAGGACCGGCCGCGACCCACTCTGATTACCGAGAGACCCAACTTTTCGCACTACCAATACATAAACAATCACCCGCCGAGTCATCCGGCCAGCGGCGACGGTCAATGGGTGCTCTTGTCGACCAACAGGGGATACTCCAAGTCCAGACAAAGGTCCATCAAGATCGACACGATGAACCCGGAGGTGTTCAAAAGGATCAATGCGACAACCAGTCACCGGAACGGCAACAGAGAAGAGCCGGATCTCGCGGTACCCGTGATGACCTCGAAACGACAGGTTAGGCTAAATGATCAAAGAGACTCAACTGTCGTTGCACTTGCGAGAGCGTGATGTCTGACAAAAGGTCTGAATTGAAACTCATTGTCCGACTTGTTGTGCCGCATAGCTTCTCTGAATTCAGCTATTAAAGGCCCCGCCCTGTTGTTTCACGCAAACTCTTCGAATCTGAAGAATCGATCCACTTGTTTGGGAGATCGGTCTGCAAATTAATGCTTAGCGATTGAATATTAAACAGACTCGACTCAAATGTCGTTTGGTCGAATCTACCTCTTTTTCAAATGAATGTTGGAACTGCTTTTGTCGAAGACATAGATAACTGGAAATTATTACGCGCTGTGGGGGACTCAATTGATCAGGTTTTCTCGATAAGATTTATCTCGACAAATTCAATAACAAATGAGATTGTCGATGAGTTATAATCGAGCGCAATGTCAATGTTGACGTTCCGTCGAAATCGCAATTCCGAAACAGCTTTCCCTTGCTCGCGTAAACTGCCGGCGACTCCTCGAGACTCGTCAGACGAGGTTTGCCATTAACGGCGGCTTGATGGAAAATCGTTTACCTAGGTTAGATTGACGGTGTTGCCGTCAATCAACGGCACGAACACAACGACGTCCCACGGGGGTCTACTGGAAGTCGAGAAGACGTTCAAGAGCGTCGAGCAGAGTCGCAAGGAGTACGAGATGCAGAGACTGACGACCGAGGCGAATACCCTGAAGAAAAGACCGATCAGGAACACACTGAGCGGCCAATCGTCCAGCTCGGCCGTTCTGGCGGCCGTTGGAGCAGGTGCGCGACTGTAACAAATCAACTCGAGCCATAAAACACAGCGAGACCGGGCGGCTTTCTCGACAAGTTGCAGCGTCGACGCTGTAGTAGCTCGACGTTGTAGCGACATTGTAGCTCGACAAACTGATACTAACCTCGAAATTGGCTATCGCAAGTTTGTTTGTAATTATTATACCCGCATGACGACAGGCATGCTGCCGGCGACGATGGCGATGATGATACCAATGATGCTGGGCCGTCGAAAGAGAGACGTCTTTTCGCTGACGGACCGCAGCAGCCCGGGCAAGTCCAACGACCTCCAGGTGGACCACCTGCGTAAGCTCACGGTGGAGTACAGCGCCCAACAAAGGAGATCAGCGAGACAGTAGGCCGGAATGTGAAGGTAGCGAAATTCCCGTTCGCGAGTCTAACGACGCGAGTCGGCGACGACAGTTGAATCAGTCGGGGCTCGGGGAGATGGGGAGCGAGACGCGGGGACAGCGTGCGAACGAAATCGAAACTTTCGGACTTCAGGGTAAACGAAACTGCATTGAAAGCCGTTCGGTCAAAAACCGACTCGCGCGCGCGCGCGGTTAACAAGCACCCAGACCTGCCCCTCGCGAGCCATTTTGCCGGGACCGCGTGACGGTATAGTCAGCTGGATCATAGATACCATAGCATTACCGAGCATGTTATTGAATAATCAATGTATCACCGTCCGCTTGCGTGCGAGAGCACGTAAGCATGATCGATCGGAAAACAACCGCCACCTGTTGCTGCCCCGGCGTTGGTCCCCGACGGAGACGGACGAGCGAAATTAGAGAGAAGTCCAAGTTACATACGCGCGCGACCCCACCCTGGGAGTCGTCGAGGACGCTTAGAGGACGTCCGCCACCCTCGCGTCCCTTCGGGACGATCGCGTTAATCGCGCAAGAGAAACAAGCGTTCGCAATCTCCATATATTTATTTACATAACGTATGTCAGGGTATTACATAGTTGCATACTTATTTATTTATTTATTCACTCGTTCGTTCGTTCAGCTCTATTTATTTATTTATAATATACACTACAGCTATAAGTGTTGCCCAATAATCGACTCCTCCGTACGTCTTCGCTCGTCCTCCAGCGAGAGGACGGGAGCGTAGCGCGCATACCAAAACAATTATAGACAGAGAACTAAGCGACAATAAAGGTCTGATCGATCCTCCGTAGGAGAGTGAAAGAAAGAGAGAAAGAGGCAAAGAGCAAAAGAGAGACTCTTCCGAAACCCCTCCACCAATCCCGCGCTATCTCCTCTGTCGAACAAATCGATCAACCGGAATGCGACGCGTCGCGAGGTGCATTGCGCGCGCGCGCGCGCGCGAGGACCCGAAGAGCGACGAGTTCAAGCTCGTCAGGTTCGCCGAACCTGCTGGTGTCGCCAGACAGAGAACGTCGCCAGTCGCCAGCGCGTCGTATCGCATCGTCGTCGATCATCGATCCCCCGCGCGTCGAGCACCGAAGATCCTGAAGAAGAAGAAGAAGAAGAAGAAGAAGAAGAAGAAGAAGAAGAAGAAGAAGATCCATATCGCGTATCCGGTACGGCGATACCTCGAAGAAGAAGAGACGCGGCGTTACATTCACCGAACGGGCGTAACAGTATTTCATGTTCCTCTTCATCGTTTTAGCTTTCTAAGTGAAAGGACGCGACGTCGCTGGTCGCGGACAAAAAATGATCGCCCGTGAAATCGCGTCCCGACCGAATCGACCGTGAAGCTGGCCGGGGCAGGAGGGAGGGGGAGGAGAGCTGCGTGCGCCGGTCGCTTCCCCGCGTTCCGCCCGACTACCGTTAGCCAGGCATAGTCGTGCGCTCCTCTTCGGGGTCGCGCTTTTGCCCGATCGCTCGATTGTCCGGCGCTCGGCGGAACGCACAAAAGCGAACGCGCCCGCTTCAGCCGTCATGACGATGGCGCACACGCACCGCTGCATCGTCGCGACCGGCTGAGGAGACCCCGATCGCCTCACGAGGAGTTACCGCCGCGTTCATCGAGTTCGCGATACATTCCGCTGCTCGCTCGCTCGCTTGCTCGCTTGCTCGTTCTCGACCTCCCTTACTCCTCGCCGTTGATCCTCTTCTGCACGTGACCGAGATACCGCGCGAAGCCCTCGCTGGCATGCTTGAGGATCGTCAAGCCCAGCCTGAACTTGATCTCGGCTACCTTCTTCACGAAGTTGAAGATGCTGAAGCCCTCCGCGGGCTTCTGTGTGGTCGAGCTCTCGAACCACTCGACGGTCGTCGACTCGGCGTCCTTGGAGCTGGACGACGTCGTGCTCACGGTGTGCGTCTCCTCCGTGGTATCCTTACTCACGTCGCCATTCGCTTTCTCGACGGCCTTCGGGGTCGACTCGCTCCCGGGGATTTTCGTTGTGTCGTGTGTACCCTCTAGGTTCTGCACACTGCTAGTGGTGGTGGTAGTGATGAAGGTCTTCATAGTGGACTCTTTTATGCGCGTGTTAGCCTCCTCTTGCCGTTTCCTCTTCTGCGCCTCAAGGTCCTCGACCTCGTTGATGCCTTCGCTATTGTTTCGCGTCTTCGGCTCGTCCCCGCCCGGTAGCGCCAAGTCGATAATATCCAAGATCTCGTTACTCAGGTCCTCCTCCTTCTCCTCCTCCTCCAGCTCATGCTTCGACGGTATCACCTGTATTACCGACTCTCTCTTCGGCCGCGAGAGCCGGCCGCCTCCTCCTCTGTCGGTAGACGCGGTTCGTTTCACCTTGAGAGACCGCGGGCCATGCTCAACGGCCACCGCCGTCGGCGTGATCTCGATCTCTTCATAGCCGTCGTCCGGCCTGACGGACGACGTCTCCGACAAGTGGACCGGACCGTAGCCATGCAGGTTGCCTGATCCCGGGAAGTTGAAGGTCTGCGCGATGTCCCGCTCGAACTGCGTTTGCCCGCTCTCAGTCGACTCGTAGCCGTTCCCTTTCTTGCTGGCCACAGATAGAGCAGCGTCTTTCATGCCGAACGGATATTCCTTGGGTACATTACCGACCACGAACTGCCGATTCGCCGATCCCGGGATTTCGGCGAGACCCTCCGCGTGTTTACGGTCGTAGTAAACTGGCGTGGTCTGCGCCTCAGAGTACCTGTTGTGGTCCGTGTTCCGATACTTTGCAGACTGAGTGTTCTCCACCGGCCTGTAGATGGATGATGTGGACACCGACGGATACCTGGGAATAGAGTTACGCTAATGCAATCCGTTATTCGACTTACGCATACGCTCTAAGTCGTGCGTTTTATATATCCGACTCGTTCACAGTCGCGCCTTTACTTATACTTTGTTTGCCCGAAGTACTTGACGTTTGTTATCAAAACGACTGGACATGATCGATACATATTCCTGATGTACAATCGACCAGAAGAAAAAGCTAATAAACACCAACAGAATCTCAGCTGCTTGATGGGGGAGAAAAGAATCCAACCGGAAACTTATATATCGCAGCCGTGGATTGGATAGTGACGTCAAAGGCGAAAAAATGACAGACTGAAAATTCTTGTGTGCCAAATAAAAAAAAAGCATTCATTTGGAAGAATATTTTAGACCGCTAGAGCATACTTGTAAAATGCTCGGAACATTGTACCTCTCTCTTGATAGTCAATCGTCAACCACAAAATGATTGATACCAGACCTAATCATGCGCATGCGCAATCATTCCGCATAACCAACCTCATATTACAGTCATTTTACCGTTGGTGATTGATTGTCAAGCGAAAGACGTAGGCGGTATTTTACAAGTACATTCTAACGACCTGAAGCATTCTTTCGTTCAAATATCTATTTTGCTTGGAAATGGCACGCAAGAATTTTAGGCGCTCGTTTATCTGCCTCTGACATCAATCCAAAGTTCCCCCGCGAGGGAGCCTTAAGATGTCTTTTATAAGTCTGGGGATGTTTTCGCCCGTATAGAACTCTACCTGGAGTCGATCCTCTTCGTCGTCTGCGCGTCGTACGCGCCGTCATAGTGCTGATAATGATAGTAGTTGCTGTTGAGGTCCTTCACGCCCGGATACTTGCTCTCGTGACTCGTCATACCCTGGAACACCTTGGACAGCACTTCCTCTTCGCTCTGACCGTAGTTATTGTCGTAATCCTCCATATTGTACTTGTAGTTCGGCTCCACCTCGTAGTTCCTGCGGGAGATGGTACCGCCGAAGGGGTATAAGAAGTACGAGGCCAGACCGAGACCGAGACCCACTAAGGACATTACACCGAAGCTCGGCATCACCTCGCGACTGAGAAAGTTGTAGATCTGCGTGCTAATTCCCTTCTGCGGTTGCTTCTTCTTCGTCTTCGTCGTGTTCGCCGCTATCTTAGTCTCAGGAGCGATCTTCGACTCCTGGACCGCATTGTCTATGATACTGGAGTCGGTGACGCTCTCGCTGGTCTCCATCAAGCTGGACATTATGCTCGCGACCGTCGTCGAGCTAGGCGCCACTGACGTAGTGGATGGCTTGCGCCTACGGACTTTGTTCTTCTTCCTTTTCGAATTGTGCCTCGGCCGTTTCGTCGTGCTCGATGCTATTGTCAACGATGGCGTCGTCGACGTTCCCGTCGTCGCCGCCGCCGTCGTCGTCATAGTGGCCACTTCGGTTTGCGTCTCTACGTTGATCTTCGTCAGCTCGGGATTGAAGTCGAACTTCAGGTCTATCCTGGAGTTGCTTAGCTCGTCGATGTTCTTCTCCACGATCTCGTCCAATTTGTCCTTGCTTATCTTCTCGATCTTCAGGATCGGCGCGTTCATCTTGATCGGGTCAACCTCGATCTGTGTGGTCTCGTCCACGGGCTTCTTCAGCTGTACCTTCAGCACATTGTTGACGTTTGTGCCGATCGGTTTCGATCTCACCGGCACTTCCACGAGATCCGCACCTGACAGGTTCGATTTGGAGGTGGTGGTGAGGGCGCTCAAGGTGGTCGCGGTGGACGCCGGTTGCAAAGTAGTCGGTGTCTTCTGAGTATCCATCAGCACCGAGGCTTTTATCTTGGTGACGAACATCGGCCTTTCCGTATTCTCCGGCCTGTTCTTCAAGGTCGTGATTATTTGAACCGGCTTGAACGTCACCTTTTCGATCTTACCGGTCGACGCGGTCTCGTTCTTCGTCGTATCAGGCTTCACTGTGCTTCTCCTCGTCGGGGTAGGTTTCGGTCTACCCTGTTGACCCGGTCTCGACGGTTTCGTCGTCACCGACGTTGGCTTCGGATGCGGAGTCGTTCTCGACGTGGTGACCTTCGGCTTGGGAGTAGTGCGTGGACTTTGACTCTTCTTCGTTGTGGGCGCGAATGTCGTCGAGGACACTTCGTCGTTCGTCGTAGCGCTCGCAATCGTAGTGCGCATCGTCTTCAGGGTAGTACTTGAAGAGGGTTCCACCTTTTCCAAGCTCTGAGTAGTGATCCTCTCCGGTTTTAAAGTAGTCGTGATCTTCTTCAACGTGGTTGCCGTCGGCTTTTTCGTGCTGGCGATTACCTTCTCCGTGGTTATAACGGGTGTCAGCTGCGGCGTGGTCTTCTCCGTGATCTTCTCAGGCTGCGGGATCGTCTCCACCCTCTCGACCGACGAGCTCGGTCTTACCGTCAGCCGCACCTCCGTTTGGAACGGCTTCGTCTTTTTCTCGATCCCTGTGACGCTCTTCACGGTCGTAGACGGTGGATTCAGTAGGATCCAAGTGGAGATACCACCACTGGTGGTCGGATGATTCTTGTAAGCGGTGATCAGTCTCGTCGTGCTCATCTCTCGCTCCAGTTCTTCCTCTGTTATGGCCATCGCCTGGCCGGGGTGGCTGCTCTCGAAATAGCTGAACTTGGAATTCATCGGCCTGCCGAAACTTACGCCCATAGACTCCAGGTTGCTGATTTCCGAGTTGATCTCTTTTATCAACGACGCGTCACTCTTTTCCGAGTTCTTCTGCATCGTTCCGGCGCTGTGCTCGGCTTTGATCAGCTGTTGACTGTTCACCTTCATTATGTTGTCCGGATTCGTGACGTTGAGCAGCTGAGTGGCGACTGTTCTCAAAGACTGGTCCATGTACTGCAGATCCTTCAAATCACGGTTGGTGTTGTTCGATTGCCCGCTGAAAGCAAATTCTGTTGTCAAATTTCATCCGAGAGGCAATTTGAATGGGGTGTCACACATTAAACTCTTTTTTTTTTTGCGAAAACATGCGACGTTATTGATGCAATGCATTACGATGGACCTTCGTATTGTCTGAGATAAATTTATTGCATATCTGACATATCATATTTTGCGATTAATATCATACAGTCCAATTTGGTTACGTTTAACTAGCCGTTTATATTATTAAGAGATTGAAATATTTGTTATTTCAATCGGGAAATTGACGTATTATGTTTCATAGAAATCCAAATAGTGTAAGTTAACTTGTAAACTGACAATGATTTTTATTAAACTTTATTAATTAAGTTCTTAATTAACTTTAGATTTCTCATGATCGTGTGAATATATCCGGTTCTGAGTCTGATTACGTAATATTAAAATTAATTAAAAGGTTATAATAAATAATCTATATTTTCATGACACAGGGAGGTTTTCTCTAACTGAGATGATCAATTTTTTATTTGTTCCAAAGTCATTAATAAGGTCGATCATAATTATCAAATCATTAAAAGGGGAACAATTAGAAAAAGTAAAAGAAACTTAATTTGTTGATTTCAAGTTCCACATTTGCTAACAATATTTGGTAACAGTAAATTTTAGGCCACATACAAACTTTCTTCCTTTTTTTATGAAAAATTATCTTCCAAACTAACGACTTCGATTAATATACACGTCTTGTGTACACATTGACAGATCAATAAATTTTAACCTTAAAAAAGCAACGTGCATTAATTTTACAAAAGAATAATTATATTCCAGCTATCGAAAATATCTCTACATTTTTTTGCTTTTTTAAGTAAAGCGGGCAGTAGCAGGTTTCATTTATTACAAAATAATTTCAAACAATGTAGCTTTTTTCGACATCTCGGACTGCACACGAAATTATCCAGACATGTTGTGATGCTGCGTATTCATTTTTCGGTTATTACAAAAAATATACAGCTTACAGAATAATTCATGGTATAAAGACATAGGATATTTATCTTTATCATTTTGTCGTTATAAACAATTCACAAACAGTTAGCTGTTTAAAAACTTTCGATATCAAGATTCTGAAAAATATAGCATCTCTTTCTCTCTCTTTCTGTCGTTTCGGTTTTCCCTACCTTTTCTACGCGATTTGCAGAGTACAATCGCTTGTAAAATAGCAACGTAAAATATGATCAAGCTGATTAGGCTAAAACGAAAATCTCGAAGTGACAGAAACACTGTAATCTGAAATCCTAAATTTCGGTAAAAACGGTATTCTAAATTTAATAATAAGGATCACTTTATGAAGTCTACTTTCAATTAGCTTTCAATTAAATAACGAGAAATATAATCACGTTCACAACCAAATACATTTCAATTACACGATAAACGATACCATAGTTATATTTCCATATTTATCAAAAATATAATATATCAAAGGTATTTCCACGACAAATCTTTTTCCAGAAATTTTTCCAACACGATAAATCGGTTATATAAGTTGGAGCGGGAGACGACAGGATCAGATGTAAAGTCGAAGGAAGAAGAAGAAGGTGGGTATATGTATTTTTACATATATAAAAAACATACAGAGGGCATGAAGAGTCACAAAGTCGGCCATAAGAAGATATTAATCATTGTGTTTCGAATGGTTTATTAGTATTACAAGTTTCGTTGGCACAAGTACCGCTAATGCCCTGAAATGGTGTAAGCTTTAATTACGTTAAAGTACCGACACGCAACAGGGAGAGCGCTAATAGTCGTAAAGCTAGATATTGCCATCGGAGTTCATATTGTACGCGCATACACGGCTGATACAAGCGGAACGCTATTCCACGCACTATTCTACACATGACACCGCAATAACGACGGATTAACAACAGCGGAATAACTTACTAACGATAATGATTGTACTGATTATCGCCAAATTGCTGGCTGCTCGTGTTAGTCGACGGTTACTCGGCGGTTAGGCGGCTTTGAATACACACTATGCTACTTTTGGCAAAAGTCAGGGTTGGCATGTTTTAAAGCAAAAGTTTTGAATATGTTTCAAGCATTTGATAATTTTAAACATGTGTTTCTTTTAAAACTTATGGTTTTTTGAGGTGTTGTAATATAAATTCTGAATGTAAAATTATTGGTGCTATAAATTCATCTCTTCACAAAATATCTATTTTTTTATATTCTTGCACATACTTATAATATTACACTCAAATGTCACATTATTGCAGGATTATTAGAAAAAAAATTATTACATATACATGTATATATGGTATATTATATCTATTGACTTAATAATTCACATATTATGTGTGTGTACATATATATATTTCGTAGTATTTATTTAAATAAAATGGTTTAAAAAAAAGTTTTCTTACCGAACTACCGATTACACTCCAAACCACATCAAAAGTCAAATGTTCAAACTGTACTAAAAAAATCAAATGCATATATGTTTAAAACATGTTTCTCTGATGCCCGTTTAAAACATATCCAAAACATAAAAAACAGTATTAGACAAAAACATGATGTTTTGTTTTTTTTTTATTCCAAACATTCAAACAGGGTTTTTACCAACCTTGACGAAGTTATAAAGCTACCACAAACGTCGCACAAAAAAAGGAACGTCGTAAACCTACTAGCACGCATGATGCGATCGAGGTCATTCGCGAATGACCTCTCCAACATGTGGACGGATGTGTGATGCGAACTCGAAGATACTCGTCGTATTAGTCGTTATTAATACACACGTCGATCGCGCGAACTTCATTGTGAACGAACGAAAGCACTCATGCGCGAGTCCGGCTGCTCTCCTTCTCGAGTCCCACTTGACTCTTCTCTCAGCAAGTTTCATTCCCGCGTCTATTCTTCTTCAAGAAAGAGAATCAAGTCCATCCAACCTATCTGTCTACTCCAACTACTTTGTCGACTCCTAGCTAGAAGACTCTGGCTAGAAAAGCACACTCGCTTCATACGAGCTTCCCCATCAATCTACCCGAATGTCCGTTTGAGAAACACACGGTCGACCGCGCTGGCGGAAGTAGCGGAAGTGGACGATGTGACAGCTCAAGTTATATACATATAGTCGTGTGTACACGAGAGAAAGAGAGATCAGGAGGATTGAGGAGTTCACCTCCTGCGCTTCCTGCGCTTGCTCTTCCAGTCGTTCAGACGATCGTACTTTTGAATCGCCTGCCAGACGAACTCCTCGAGGCTCGGCCTGAACCTGACAGTCACCTTATCGGCGGCGCGGCCGAGGTCGAAGGCGTTCGGAAACGCCCACGGGAAGATGAACGCGGCGACGCCGAGCACACCGGCCGCCATCGCGGCGAACGGCGCCGCGGCCAGGCTGAAGAAGCCGTAGCCCAACGGGTTCAGGAAGCTGAAGTACGTGAAAGTTGAGGTTATCGACTGCAACACGCCTCCGGGCGTCATGTCGAAATCCTCGTCATCGTCGTCGTCATCGTCGCCATGGTGCGAAGAAGAGCCCACGGGACCGTGCGACGAGGATGAGCCGGGCAAGTAGCCGTTGGACGAGCCCGGCCTACTCGAAGAACTCGGCCGATTAGGCAGATTCGGCAGAGAGGGAACCTGCAGACTACTAGAAGGTACCAGCCCGTTATTCGCCAGACCCACCGGTACGGTCTCACTCAGCGTCGACGGCAACGGGGCGACGGGCACGTTCACCGTAGCCGGCGCGTTCCCGGCGGACGAGCCGGAAGCGGAAGCCCCATTACCGACGTCGCCGACTCCAGCACCTGGCGGTGCCAGCGCAGAAATCGACGCGTCATCGTCCACACCGGGGCCGTCGGCGGATGAGCTAGCGGCGCCGTCCTCCACTGAGCCCGCCGTTGTTTCCGTGTCCTCCGACGGGGCATACACGTTGATGTGAGTGCCCTGGAACACCTCGACGGTCGACAGCTCGGGAGAAACCTGAGCCCCCGGACTGACGACGGGGTCTTTCTGGGAGTCGTAGTAGTCGCTTTGCACCACAGGGTACGGCGACTGGAACGAGCCGGAGGAGGAGCCGTATGTGTCGGCCGCCGCGGTCACATAGCTACCGGAGGACTCTTGCAGAGGGAGGTCGTCGCCGACCTCGTCGGCGTACTTGTCGCTGCCGGTCGCGTCGACGTAGCCTTGGGTCGCTAGGGTCGGTTGTTGAGCCTCGCTCGGTACCCCGCTCGGCTTGAAGACATTCGTGTTGAGGATGTGGGAGTTGATGATGATGTTGAGGTCAGTGCAACCCTCCTTGCTCTGGATCGTGTTGTTCACACGGGTGTAGGAGTTTATCATGATCGTCGGGCATTTGGATTTATCGACCGCTGGCGGGAAAGTGTTGGTCTCTTGCTTCGCAGGCGCCTCGTCTTCATTCTTCTGGGAAGTGAACATTATGTGAACATTGGGCCGTTGAACTGCCTCCGCGGAGGTCTCCTCGGAGGAGGAGCCTGAGGATGCCGTCTGAGGATCGGTCAGGGTCGAGTCGGCCACGCTCGACTGCGGCACTTTCATCTGCGTCACTGTCACGTTCGGCTTCTTCAGGCCGTCGTTCAGGATGTGCACCACTGTATTCTGCGACACGTGCGTCGTGGGCTTGTAGACCGACTGATTCTTCGGCAAGGTTACCTCGGGCCAACCGTTGGAACTTGAAGCATCGGCGGTGAAACTTGAAGAAGACGTTACATATTGGGGCGGATGCACGGCCCAAGCTGGTGGACTCGGCCGTCGATTCGACTGAATGTGATAATTTATCTTATCGAAACCCTGACTCGTAGGCGCATCTTGAAGCATCATGGTCTCCTGGTTGCCGTCGTGAACGCCCATGCTCAGCGGACGATTCGGCTCGAGGTTCTCGTAGATCGACTCGAGCACTGACTCGATCGGTTTGTGAACCCCATCGTGCTGATAGTGTTGTTGATGAAGTAAGAAATGCGTGTGATTCGGCACGACCGGCGGTATCCTCAGCCACTGGATGATCTTCTTCACGCTGGAGTCGAGCACCGGGTCTGAGTGGTTAATGTAGACGCCGTGCGGCGGCAAGATTGAAGCCGTCGCCTGCTCGGCATCGTAAACGCCCGATTCTTGACTGGACTCCACTAAGGACGCGGTGTACTTCTCGTAATTGTATAGGTCCTCGATGTCCTGCAGAGCCCCGTTCGGCCAGTTCTTCGAGCCGACCTTACGCACAGATGTACCGCTACCGCGTTCATTTTCCAGCGAGCCGCCTCGGTCGCCAACACTCGCGCTCTGACTCGGCAACTTCTGCCCAGAAGCAGAAGAGTGACGATCGCCCGTCGCCTGCTCGGGCTTCTTCCTCGCGGCTGTCTGCGTCGAGTGGTCGCTCTTCATCGGCTCTGACGTTCCGACAGCGGTGAAGCGAACGTCGTTGTTCGTCTTCAGTTTCGCCCAGTTCTTGGGATTCAGCGCGACCTCGCCCGATTTTGGCCGATAACTCTGCGGACCGCTGACGCGTGACTTGACGACCTCAATGGGCCGCGAGTTCGAGCTGGGGGACGGCCGTCGAAGCCTGACGAAGTTTCTGTTAGACTTCACCGTCTTCCTGCGAGACGCGGGTCGACCGTGACTGCCAACTCCTGATTTCGATTTCTGGATCAGGGTCGGCCGCGTCTGCGCCGACTCGCCTGAATTATTCAGGCCGCCGCGTCGAACGTTGCCGACATGGCCAAGCGGCTCGCCAACGAATCGCGACTTCAAGTCCTCGTAGGAGGTTACGACCGAACCCGCTCCGTCCGTTATTCTGTAGAGCGAACTGCGGTTCTCATGAATCGAAGATATCGCGGCACTTGCCCGACGATTGCCCCGAAGGTTGAACATTCTCTCTGTCAGAGAGGATGAAGAAGAAGAAGAAGAAGAAATATGCGAGCCCTCCTCTGCCTTGCGAAACGATACTCTATTTCCAACAACCTCATCTGAAGACGAATCAGACCTAACCGCATCTAACGTCTGATTCTTTCCAGCATCGCCGACCTCACCACCCACATTTGCAACATTCCCGCTTCTCTCAAGGCCAGACGCGCGACCACCCGAGGAGACAATTCTCACGGGCGAGTGTCGCTCTGGAACGAGCATCGATTTGTAACTCGGACTCGAAGTCACGCCGGACTTGGACTTCTGCGAACCACCGATTCGCGCTCTTGGAGAATGACTCACTCCAGCGAGGTAAGGATCAGCTTCCAAGCTGGGGCTTGTGTTCGACCTTGAGACGGATCTTACCCAATCCGTCCTCTCGTCCGGACTTCTCCCAGGATTAACGAAGGGGCCCCGAAACGCAAGTGCAGCCGCCTCGCTTGAATCTCGAATAGCCGCGATCTTCGGAACCCCGCCTGGCGCCGAGACTGTCCTCGAAGGACCGCCTTCAGCTTTAAATTCGGACAACATCGTCCAAACGTCGTCGATCTTGGAACGACGAGCGCCAAACGACCGCGCCGACTCGCTCGGCGCAGAATCGCTCGCGCGTGAACCGACTGCGTTAAGCTCGCGCGACGAATCGATACTATCGCGGAAATGTGTGATATACGACTTTCTATTACTTCCGGAAGTCCCTGTATACCTGCTATCGTTCTGAACAATGTCGTGAGACTTGTTCGACGATCGGACGGCTCTCCATCCCGCGTTGCTCGCTCCCGTCGCTTCCGGCTGTGTCGCCACATCCGCGTCTGCAAAATAATGGAGCAAACTGTTACACAAGTATAAATGCTTTATTCATCTCGCGCGTAATCGTAAAACAATACGAGCTTCACGCTCCATTTAACCCTTTAACGCCTACTGGTAACTATAATATACCAGAAACGCATTTAAGAATCCATAACTTAGTGAAAAAAGGGAGATATTTTCGTTTTCTTTGCACCACTGTAAAGGTGAATTCTTCTTCTAAAAAATGGTATATAGATTGTATGTAGATTCGGTTTAGTCTGTTTTTAGCTCAGTTTTAATGATAACATGTTTTGTCAAATTCCAAGTAGGCATAGTTACGTAGCATTGTTACTGACATCTAGAAGTGCACTATAAATGAATAGATTGATATCTGTTACAATTTTATACATTTGGAAGCTTTCTCAGATGCAAAATGTGAAATTAAAAGAATAGAGAAATTCAAAATGGCGAATCCAATATCATGGACACGAAAATCAAGAAATCAACCTATTTTCGTGAAACCTGGTGACCTACAATTTTTTATGCGACGAAAAATGAAGGGACGATTGACTATCTAAATGGTGATCTGTAAGATATTCTCCTGAAATAGTACGCTTGACGCTCTGAATGATAAACTTCACTCACAGATATAGCAAAGTTTCAGCTCAAAAGCTTGTCAAGCTGACTATCAGAGTTATGTCGTATAGATTACCCTTCATTTTTCTCTGTATAAGTTGCTCACTTCGTATATATCCTTTTAGGATCCAAGTCATATTTACCAATAAACAAAAAACGAACGATAAAAAAACCAATATAAAATTCTGATATTTTTTTTGGTCATCACTACTTATAGTCTCAGTTCAGAAAAACTCAAATTTTATTCTTAAAACACCTATAAAAAAGCCGGGCGTTAAAGGGTTAAGTGCGTATGAAAGTTCCGTTGCTTTAGAAACGCTCGTGCAGAGGAAAGACTGGTTGAATCGACGCGACGAGACGAACCAACCGAGAGCGTTTTGGTTGTGAAGGGAACAAATTTTCTAATCCTGATGAATCAAATTCGACTCGCAAGAACCAGAAATCCTGTCTCCCTCCACTTCCTGTGAGCCGAATTAAGCTTCGAGAATCACAAGTTTCCTTCTGATTGTTGTGAAGCAAGTTCGGTTCTAAGAATACCGGGAATTTTGTTTCCTTTAAAATACGACCGGCACATTGATTCAATCAATCTCTCTTCACCGTGAATGAAGAGTGTGCAGATTGAAGGACAATCGGAGATTCATCGAGCTGTGATTATTTGTCGAATAATTGCTACATATGTCAGCCTTGGACGCGTAACGTCAGCGAGGGATTCACAACGTTTATAATAATAATAATAATGGGCCGATAAGCACGATTCGGTCGCGTCAAACCGCTAACGCGACGCAACGCCGAGTTTCGCAATGACATATTTTCTAATGGTCGACAGGGAAGCGTTTCCCAATATTGAGACATTCGGTTCTGTAAGAAAAGTGACGCAATGTTGATCACGCATCACGTTACGCAGAGCACATTGACGTTATCGCGCACGTATAAATAACAGATTAGGAATCGAATACGCATGGTTCATTAGCCGTGATTGCGCCATTAAGGAGGCATCAATTTCGCGTCGGAAAACATCGTTTCCGAGGTCTCGACTCGTAATGTTAGGTGATTTCGTCGCTGAACGTCATCGATCCGTTGCGTTTCCCCTTCTCGTAATCTCTTTCAAGGTATTATCGCAGTGCGGTGTCCTGTGTGAAACCTACCATTCCTCTGAGGCCTGGTGTCGCCGGATCCTGCGACCAGCAGGACCACCACTAACTTGAACAGCTTCGTCCGCATTTTTGCACTGAAACAAAAATCGAGACAAAAACATGTATTCAACGTAGAATTTGGTGACGAAAGAGAAGAAAGTTATCAAGATTTATAATTTAGCGGCGACTCAAAGGACAATTAGAATCCAAAAGTGCAAGATGTAATTATATTTAATGTTGACCGACTGAGTAAATTTGTCGAGTAAACGGAAGCAAACATTTCCTATTTCGAAACTTTACTTCTACATCAACTCTGTAAATTTTACTAAATTTGAAAGACCGCGCGATGCAAAATCTCGATATCATTGTAACATTAATATGTAACTGTTTTAATAATAATACAGAAATTTTATTGTACTTTGATACTGTAGAATACTACTCGATGATTTTTTCTACGTCGCAGGTGAAATAAATTTGTTGCAAATGTTTTTATTATTCGCCATCTTGATTTTCTATCTGCATTCAACTTTTTCATGGTTTTAATAAACTGATAGTCAGAGTATAACTTGTTTCAGTGAATAAAATAAAATAGAATAAATCAATTTTCAAAGCCATTTACACCAGCATTGACAAGGTTTTGAAGTAGGAAGCGAAAGTTTGGTCATTAATTTATTTAGTCCATTCATATCAAGTAAAAGCAATTTCACGTCAAATTTGCGTCAATTTCACACAATAATAACCGAGTATCAACCGAGTATTAGAAACTGGTTATTAATAATTAGATAATTATCTGCAAATATTCTATGAAAGAAAAGCATTATTTTACAATATTATAAATCTTTTGAGAATGTTGCGTTACACGTGGAAAGACGCGCAGAAGACAACACGAAGACAACGTAGAAAAGTAAAAGACAACGCAAAGGCAACGTAAGATTCCGCGAACGGAAAATCGCGCGTACGCCAGGGCTGTCCTCGACACGGTGACCTAAACTCAAACGCTGAACCTGATCTTGAGCAACGATCTAGATCTCGTTGCGCGAGAATGGACTGACTGTGTGTCGTCGAGAACCAGTCGATGAAGAAGGAACTCGTCATTCGCAAAAACGGATTCGCGCGATCGAGCGGACGCGCGGTTGACCGGACGAGCGATCGTACGCGCGGCGTAAGAAAGACACGCGTCCATCGGAAGTGGTGGAGCAAGTGGCGGAAGCCGAAACCCCTGATTTTACGGCGACGAAGACGCGACGCTTGCATTAACATTCGCAGGAAGTAATGAACGCCTGTCGCAAATACGAATTTGCGTTATGCGCCGTACCGCGCGTTCGCGTTTCCACGTGAGTTCTCGCAACGCTCTTCTCATTCTTTCTTCATAAAGTAACGCGTTCCACGGCAACGATTAACGTTAATATTTGCGGAAGTAATAAGCAACGAGCGATATCGCAACAAAGATTTGCAGGTACGCGGCGGTGTCGAAGTTTCCGCGTTTCTCGTTGATCGTTTCCTGCGATCATCGATCGATATTTCAATAACAGAACGCGTATTCGATAATGCGTTCAATCCGTGCAATGCATTCGACAACGCAACGCGTTTTATCGAGTAAAGTGATGGGTGCGTTAATTAGCGAAAGTGTCCCAATCCGAGATAATTTAATATCTGTTTTCCTAAATGAATCAATTAATACGGGCCCATGTTTATATATTTTTATTCGAAAATTCATATGTTGTTATCACTTGTAGCAAAATCTCAAATAAGATTGAAAAGTATATTAAATGCCGGAACGACATAATTACAAGCGTATTGCCGACGACGACAGTTGGATTAATTACGTCGCCTTACAACTTGATAGTTAATATTAAATATACTTTTTTGGACACTAGATGCTACTGCAGTCATTTCTGAACAAGTATCATAAATAAATTGAAATCTTTGCATAAATTAGAAAAATATAATGTAACTAGCTTGACTTGTTAATAGTTATCATGAGTGATTTATTAATTTATTTCCACGATGAGATTACTTGATTGCTAATCGAAGCATTCATCTCATCTGTTTTTCTTTGTCACCGTCGGAGCTACTCTCCGATCTGTCTTAAAACGACACAAACGAGGCGAATAAACAGATCGCAAGACGCGCTCGCCGAGGCGACGAGACTGACGCAATTGTCACGACGGGACAATTCAGCAATTCCACGTGGGCCACGCGACGCGAATCTTTTATCGCCGATTTACCGGCGAAGGCCTCGCTCGAACAGAACCGTTCGTATTCGATCCTCACTCCAGACGGTTCCAAACGTCGACGCACGTAGAATGCAAACGGCGGCATCATTCCATCCTCGTGGGCGCAACTGAACGTTCAATGCGATTAACGTCGACGTTAATTGTCGACATTGACAGACATTTGCCGAGCGGGCGAATAACAACGGCAAACGTCGGCTGGACGACGCGGAGCGCTCTTTCCTTCCCGCGCGTTCAAGTCTCCGCGTGATTGCACGCCCCGGGGGGCTAAAACGAAGCGTCTCGCTGCGTCAGCAGCGCCCGAGCCCGGGATTCCGAGCGAAGCGTCGGCGGCGATGGAATCCGTGGAATTCCCCCTAGCGACCGACTCGATTGTCACACGAGCGTTCTTTACCGTTGCATTTTTTCGTTCATATTCGTGTCCGCTAACGGTACCGGGCGTCGATCTTCTTCAGGCATCCTCCACGGGCACGTGACGCCCGTGCATCCCGACGCGAGCATTCGAAGTGCCGAAGCGCAGGAGGCGTCATTCGCCGGCGATGGAACAGCCGTCGTAGAATCCGACGCGTGAATTCTACGACCGGCGGCGGCGGCGGCGGCGGCGGCGCGTACCGTTAACCATTTGAATGTTACTCCGAGCCGGAAAGCCGTCCACGAAGTCGCTTCGTCGAGTAGCGGATACGGGCCCGGTATAGGCAGGCTCCGAATTCCGAGCGAGCAACAGTCGATGCACACGCACGCGCGTGCACCTTCCCCGCCCCCTCTTCCCGCCGGCGGTCAAGAAAATTTCTCGGAAACCACAATCGAGATCTAATTTCCGGAAAAGATTATGGACTCTGGCTGAGAAATCCGCGGAGATCAGCGGGAATTCAGCTTCAACAAGTCTCAGACACGTCTGGAACACGCGGATCTAACCGGGAGATTCAAGCGGACGTCATTTGTTTCTCACGAAATTTTCTCCATTGTACATTAAATTTGAACGAAGCGTGTGAAACTTGGAGGTATTTATTATATATTCTACGAGATATAAATATGTAGGAAACGCGATATAAATATGTAAGATATGTAAATATGTAAAATATGTAAAAATATATAAAAATATGTTTAATACTTTAAATGTTTCGTTTTTTTATTTTCTTTCTCCATTTTCCATAATCTGTTAAACTAAATGGTTGACGTAGAAGCGAGATACCATATTTAATTTCATGAAAAAGGAGACGTATTTTTTGTTTCTTTTTCTCTGGTGGCCGGAAATTTTTTCCTTTTTATTATGTGGCCTAAAAAGTGATCATTATAAAAAAACGCGATTTCTTATAATATTTCAATTCTAGACAGAGAAGGAACCCAATTGGTACCATCAAGGGGACTTATTTTTGAACAAATTTGGTCACTCTAATCGAAGCGAACGCTGTATATCTGGAAAGATCTTGAAAAAAAAATGTTACACATGTTGTTAAATGAATCGATCTCCGCTAGCCAAAGAGAAATACGATCTCGTCGTATGATCACAGCGATGACGATCGCGATAGCGATCGAGGATCGCCGGCAGTTTCGCGAAACCGTTGTATACAACAATAATTGCCATTATATGCGCGGCTCCTTTTATTTACGCACTGACTATTTTCGGTGGCAAGAGCGCGGCGGCAATTTCCCGTAACATTGTAGCGTAAGTAGACGGAAATGGACGCATCATGCGCCCGCGAGGAAACGCAGTCTCCTCCGCGGTGTTCATTTCAGCTCGGTTAAATGTAGTTAAATGTAACGCGAAATATAATACGAGCATGAGTCTCGCGGAAATTGCAGCGGGCTAAAGAGGACGGCGATAATATTTTGTCGGTCCATTAAACATAATAGCGAAACATCGTTCCTTCGAGGCTCAGCGAGCGAGCCAACGTCAACGGGAAGAGCAGAACAGCAGTTCAATCGGCGGAAAATCGCCCGAGCCGCGTGTATCTCAAGCTCGAAGCCGATAAGTTCATCCGCTCGGGAGTGCCATCGGAGGCGCGTGTGGGCTCGCGGTATCATCGCCGAGGGAACGGGTCTCTTTCCGGAACGCTGAGCCTCAGCGGAAAAGATCGCGCGCAATAACGACACGCTATTTAACAAACAGATTCGCGCTCTAACGAGCCACCTCGGATACCGCCGGCTGAAATGAGAGCGCGGATAAGGAACGCGCGAAATTAACGGGAGCGGGCGATCGTCCGGGAAGGAACGAGGGAGAGAGCATGTCGATCGTTCGAGCCGGTCGAGTCTTCCTCTTCGCCGCTTCGAGTCTTCCTCTTTGGCACGTTTACGCGCTTTGGATCGTTTACGCGCCGCGTCGTTCGCGAACGCACCGTGACCATCTCGCACAATAGGACGTTCCCATGAGCGCGCGCGCATCTCTCTTCGCTCTTCAACGATCCTTAACTCCTGCCATTAATAATGATAACGCTCATAATGTTTCGCTATCGCGTCGCAAGAGCGTAACGGCTTATCTCGCGGCCGCGCGCCGCGGCGAAGCCGGGCGACTTCGTCATGGGAGACATTCTCGTTGGAGCGTGAAACGCCGAATAATTCAAGCTGTCCGCGGGGCGGCAGCCGAAGAAGGAAACTCGACTATAAATTGAAAGTACTCGCGTTCGTAAGAGAAAGACGTAGCGACCATTTTCCCTTTCCTTCGGAGATCTCAGCCGCGTTAACGCGGCTTGTTCGGCTGATGCGCGTGCGAGCGCAAGTTCGTCGAGGCCGATTAATTTCCTAGGTCGCGCGGGCCGGCGAGTTTGAAGGAAGGAAGATGGTTCGATTAGTAACGGTTGATGGAGAGATCTCGCCGGCTGATCGAGCAGAAGTGGAACGCCCAATGGCGCCGATTAACGTAATCGTCGCGATCATCGCCGGATCTTTTTGGAGCGTGGCATCGATATTCGCTCCTATTTCGCCCGTCTAATGAGACAATGAAACACGATGCGTCCGTGAAGTTATCATCCATCGTTAAGTATAACGTAATGACGTAAGAGGCAAAAGAATCTCTCTCTCTCTCTCTCTCTCTCTCTCTTTCTCTCGAGGAAGCGAAGGCGAGCGCAATGAAATAAATACGAGTGCGATCCGCCAGCGGTATTCTGAACCTGAACCCGCGCGACGTTCCTTCTTTTTCTCGCGACTTCGTCGTAAACTTGTTTGCATTTCTCGGCGAGGTAACACTCGCTCCCGGGCTGGATTAAGGAAAAAGCGCACGATGCGCTGGCCGAGCATGTGGGATCCTGCATCGCGTACGTGTCGTTGCACCGTTTCTGTTCGTAGCACAATTCTACGATGCAATTCTCTCCCCCTCTCATCCTTCAGCCCGACTTCAAATTTCCTGATAGGTGTACCATAAGTCTCTCTCTCTCACGCTTTACATATCACCGAGCAAGCTTACGCTCGTGCGAAACATCGGCACCGGCCGCGGGGCGAAGCCGCAGGCAGATCGGCCAGCTCGAGAACTCGAGCCGTGTGCACGCATGAGAAATCATCGACAATCATCCAGGCAAACTGATCGTGACCTTACCTATATCTGTGGATAAACCGCTGGACCTCGCATCGGACCGCACACGAGACGCGATTTGCACACACACCCCGACGCGATCGCGCGACGAAAAAGCGCGAGCGAGCGAGCGAGCGAGCGAGCGCGCGCGCTTGCGACCGGCGACCGCGACGCGACGACGAGCACGCGAGACGCACGCGACGAGCACGCGACTTTACTCCACGCACCGACCACTGCGAGACCCTTCCACGCGTTGAACTCTCCGAACGGACACCTGTTGGGCGAGAAGAAACGACACCGGGGGCGCGACACCGGAGATTCACTCGCTCGCTCACGCGTTCACGCGCCGGAGAAGCACGAGGAAACACTCGCTCGGCAAAGGCACAGACGAAGCTGTCGAGGGAGTTCCCGGGGGGGCTCCCTGGCGAAAAGAGGCAAAGAGAAGAATGGCACGAGGGACGGAGTGGTCGGACGGCGACGATGCGCGCGCGGTCAGTGTCGACCAGCCGGACGGTTCTTCGACAATGGTGCACGGCTGACTGGCTGCTCCACGAGCTCCGTGCTCGTCGCGAACTCAGCCTGGAGAAGGTTTAGTGGGCAGGAAGAGCGTCCGCCGCCGCCACCGCCGCCGCCGCCGCCGCCGCCGCCGCCGCGGCCGGCGCTCACCTAGCCGCGAGGTAAACCGACGAAGAAGGTGGAGCGCGCGCGGGCCTTAGGACCCGTTACTCCGCTGCTACGAGATCCGCCCGAGTTGAACAACCTTCGGCCAGATATAACGCGCGTATGCTAAGTGCGCGCATGCCGCGAGCGAGCGAGCCAAAGGGAGAGAGAGAGAGAGGGAGAGAGAGAGAGAGAGAGAGAGAGGCTCTTCCGCCGGCGCGACGATCGAAGTGGGTGAACCCGCGGACGCTAATACGGTATCGCGGGTCGCTCCCGAGGCTCCGGCAGAGACGCGGCTTGAGGACGTGAGCGGCACGGATGTGGAGCCGGCCCACCTCCGCGGAGGAGGACTCGTCCTTTTGTCTGTGTTTATGCGTGACGCGTGATTGCGACACGACCCTGGCAGGAACGCGGACGGAGCCGTTCGACGGCCGTCTGGCCGCCGTCGAATCCGATCGCAGCGATGAGACTAACGGGCCTCCGCCAGGCCATCCGGGCCCGGGGCCGCGCGTTTCGGAAGAGATCCGGCGCAAACGGGTCACGACTCGCGAGCGCGAGCTAGTCACCATCTGATATGAATCGGAATTCGCCGCGGCCGCGGCCGCGGCGATCAGGAAGAAAAGTGAACAGCTGAACTTTCACAATAACGAGAAGGGGCGCGCGGGAACTGATACCGCGCTGATATGCGATCGGTATAGTACGGGAGCGCGCGTCTGTGAAAGTTCATTCTGTATCATTTGTTACTCGCGCGTGCGATATCATTGCCGTTGTTACTCGAGAGCGATCCGGCCGACGACCCGCTCTCTCACTCTCTCTCTCTCTCTCTCTCTCTCGTCCTCCGCGCTTCCCCTGCGTTTCCGCGAGGACTACCGGGGAGGAATGAGTCTCTCCGGGCGTCCGAGAAGTCGGGCATACAAAGTAACGTCGATTATCCACGCCGGCTGTCAGTCAGTCGGTCAGTCTACTTCGATCCAGTTCGTCCATTCTGCGCGTGACAGCTTGATGGGGGACTGGGGAGACACTGATCTCGGCGATGATGAAGAGCGTGCGACACGCTGAGCGACGATTAACTCGCGGGATTTCTTCGGCCGCCGCCGCGCCGTAGCGCGAAGATTTCAACCGAAGGGGAGGAGCGCGCATGCCGATGTGGCGGAGCCTCGCGTGGCGGCCGCTCGACAGCTGGAAGCTGAAGAACGGAACACGGTACTCGAATGTTGCCGCTGCGCCGTCGTGTGGAACCGGTTCGTAGGAGGAGAGGAACCGGCGCCTCTCTTTCCCAGTCGACAAAGGCACCGCGCGTCCTAATGCCGCGGACGGGACGTAGTGCGTGCCAGTGATCCACTTGCCGCGTCTTCGCGCGCGCAATCGGACGACCCTCGGGCGCCTCCTGCTGCTGGAAGAAACTGCGAGAAACGAACGACGAGCGCGCGGAAATCTGCTCTTCGATTATTCATGAGAGAGAGAGAGGGAGAGGGAGGTGGAGAGCAGGAAATCCTTAAACCTTTAGAATACGTTGCTTAAACAACGGAGTGAAATCACTGAGGTCTCCCCAACTAGAAATTTATCAAAATAGTCTTTAATGTGTATTTTCTGGGATACGTTAATATTATACAAGGTGAGTCATTTTAAGTGTGTTACCTACTCCGATAACTGTCTTATTTTTTATTGTAGAAACAAATGTTTCAGACAAAAGTTGGCTGGTTTCAAGGGGGACACAAAACAACTATATCAATTTATTTACAGATAACGCCACTTTCGAGATATTCACTGATAATTGCTTTTCTTACATGGAAACCCCTTAAATGGAATTTTTTTATTATATTATCTTCTTCTGCCAATTAATCTTAATAACTTTTGTCTAAAACATTTTCTTATTTGCCTAATATCTTTTTAGATATTTAAGAAAAACTTGGTAACTTTTTCAATATTTACGATATCTCGCTATTTGTCGGAAGAAAAAATAGTACTAGACTTTTTTTATTCTACTTGGTCTCAAGAATATATTGTTACAATAGTGCCCTGACTTTTGTTGATTTGATGATTTTGAAATCTTCAAAAGTCGATAAGTTTTGTCTGAAACATTTGTTTCTACAATCATAAATAAGAAAGTTATTGAAATGGGTGCGCGCAACACATACTTAAAATTATTCACCCTATATAGAGTTATATTATATTATTTAATGAAGTTCACCACATTTATTTCTACGAACTCACACAAATCTTGTTATTACTGATAAAAGAAATGTGGCTAAAGATTCGAGCATATCTTTTGCAAGCCGCTTATCTGTAATAAAATTACAGACCATGGCCGGCCGTTAATAAATGGATCACACAGATTACATGAATCACACAGATTCAATTGTTTTTGAATCGTAAACGACGGAGGAGGGGAGGGTCGTCAAATTCCCTCCGTCAAAAATTCATTGAAGTAATTTTTAATGTGTATTTTCTAGTATTTTAATATTATATAAAATTATTATATTATTTAATTAAGTTCACTCAATATTTATTTCCATGAATTCATACAAATTCATACAAATGAATTCATACAAATTTTGGAGGACCCTCTCTCCGTATTCTAAAGGTTAAAATCAACCCACCCGTTGCGCAAGTTTGCGCGCAACGTTGACAATTCGTTCGTAGATACTGCCAAGTGAAATGAAAAGAATCCATTCATCAATGGCCGCTCGTAGTGTATAATTTTATTACAGACTAGCGACTTGCAGAAGATGCTCGAATCTCTAACCATGATCCTTTCATTGATAATAACGAAACAGTGCTTGTTTGAGCAAAGTAAGCGCCACCGTTATCCGCCATTCCTCAGGTGATTGCCCCGATTCCGCGTCTGTCAAATGACTCATCTTGTGAGTCGATGAAATCGCTAACGACTCGACGGACTTTCGCAAACCCCTTCCCGAGTGGGAAATTTCTTGGGATCTGATCGGAGCTTAGTCTAACTTCGCCAAGTTCTACGCAGATTCAAGTTAGAAGTTGAATGTTTCGCGATCTTAAGCGAGAAAAATCCAAGGAATCCGTGTCGGGAGATTTACAACCCAGAAATATTCTACGCGGGATATTCAGCACGATTTTATCGTCACTACTGAATCGACATGGTAGAATGTCAGACATCTCCAAAAGCCAAGCAAGTTGATACTTGAAGGGTTGGTACTTGAAGAGTTAAAGAATTCGCAGTCAGATGTTTTCTTTAAAAGCGCCTTAGGTTTATCTTCAGGTGCTTCGTAAATTCGCCATTAAAGCGGTATCTTTAGACAAGCTCAAGATCTACATACAAGGTGTTTATTTCAAAACTTTCCAGCTAATTATCTCGAAAACTATGAAAGATATTAAAAAAAGCTAAAACACGTGTTCCATGAAAGGGAAAGAGAATGGCATTATCAGTTTTTAGAAGGCGTTTTCTAGGTTATTCGAAGGTCAATCTTGTTTTTTAAATGGAAACCTATATTTTTTATTGCGGGATATTATTCTACGTAAAAAACCAGCAACTTTTCTGTAGGAAACATTTTTTTATCTGAGCACTATGTTGGAAAATACTTAAGAAAATAGTAAGGCATAGTTAGTGCGTCAAATTTGTCATTTATTAAAACAAATGTTCAAAATGTTCTCCGTTGTTTGCTAAACAATAATAAAGACGATTTTGAAATTCTGAACGAACACTTTGGAAGGTATCTGTTGGAACAGCTCTACATTCCTGTACAATTCTTTGACGCAAATCGTTGATATCGTTTTCCGGCGGAGTTTTATAAATAGCTGATATCCCTTTAGATACTCTCCGATACAAGTTTTACACTTGACTGAATAATACACTATGAAAGACAGAAAGGAAGTGATTAAGTACAACAAATAAATGGCCAAAGAAAGTCAACTTTGTTTCCGAAAGGTACGTGTTAGTTACGATCAGGAAACATCAACGATTTGCGTCAAAGAATTGTACAGGAATGTAGAATTATTCCAATAAATACCTTCCAAAGTGTTCGTTCAAAATTCCAAAAGCGTCTTTATTATTGTTTAACAAGCAACGAAGAACATTTTGAACATCTATTATAATAAATAACAAACTTAACGCGGTAACTATGCCTTACTATTAAGTATCTTCCAACATAGTGCTTAGACAAAAAAATGTTTCCTACAGAAGTTGTTGATTTTTTTTTTACGTAGAATAATATCCCGTAATAAAAAATATAGGTTTCCATTTAAAAAAACAAGATTGACCTTCGAATGACCTAGAAAACGCCCTCTAAATAAAAAACTGATAATGCCATTCTCTTTCCCCTTCATGGAACACGTGTTTTAGCTCTTTTTAATATCTTTCACAGTTTTCGAGATAATTAGCTGGAAAGTTCTCAAATGAACACCCTGTATAACAGTTGACTATGATGATAATCGCATCAGATTTAATATCCACGTCTGTTTTGCCTTCAAACAGTCCAGCGCATCGCGAGATGAGTCGTTCTCACCCGTAAAGAGCCCGAAAAGCAGCGGCGCGGCCGCGAGGAAGCGACGCGTGCGGGCGAAGACCCGGTGCGCCCGGCGTCGCGACCGATGAAAAACACGCCGGTAATTACGTGGTGTATTTAGCGAGAGAACCAAAAAATCGATCGCGCACGCAGCCGGAAGGTAACGTAATAACCGAACGCGCGTCGGCTGGCCCAGAATCATCCTCCGCCTCGGCTCTATGTGGGACATAGCGGCACTTCTTGCGGATTTAGATACCTTCGCCGGCTGACAGCATGCTGGCGTCGCATCGACGTCATCGGTAGGGAACCATTTTTGAATTAAGTACACCGTCTTGGAGCCAGATCAAGCGGCCGATGCGTCGCTCTCGCGATGGAAAACTACGGCCGGTCGAATCGACGATGCGTTGCGGCTGACGCGCGCGTCGCACGAATCTCAAATAACCCGTTGCGCTCGCTGCT